ACAACAAAAATAGTCATTTGTCCTACTTTGACAGTCAAAAGTTTTAATTTGATTGATTAGTTTCTTTACTGGCTTTTCCTCTTGCCTGCCATCAAAATAAACCTGCCATGGTTTGCTGTTGCTGTTGTTGTGTGCCTTCAAGTTGTTTCTGATTTGTAGTGACCCTAAGGCTCTATCATGGGTTTTTCTTGGCAAGATTTGTTCAGAGAGGTTTCCCCTGAGGCTGAGAGCCTTTCCCTAAGGCTGAGAGCATGTGACTTGCCCAAAGTCACCCAGTGGATTTCATGGGTGAGCTGGGAATTGAACCTTTGTCTTTAGAGTTGTAGTCCAATATTTAAACCACTAGTTATCACAATTCTGATTTTACAGACAGGAGAAATGAGGTTGAGAAATAGTGGCCACATATACTTTGCCAGCTAAGTCCAGTTTATTGTTGGATCTTTCTGGTGCAATTTTGGAGCAACATTAGCATCCACTCAGGGGGTCTTACATTCAGAACCAGGAATTCCCCTCTTAGGAGTTTGCTAGGGCTGTCTTTCCTATTGATTAGCTATGCAAGCAAAACCTGAGCCTTTTTTTAAAAATGCTCTTTCCTATTTAGCTGCAATCATTAATTGTAGGAGGGAGTGTAGAAAAAAATATATATGGAAAGGGTAAGTTTGGAATGATTTTGATAAGTACACCCAAAATAGGGTCATTGCTTGCATCTGCAGAGGGAGGAGAAAAATTGGGTTTTACCGGTGTAAAAAAAGTAAGTAAAGAAAAACAGGAAAAGTGTTGCAGTGAGCGGGGGCGAGGACAGCGGCTTCCTGGCCTAGATTCTGAAATATACCAGGACTCCCCCCAGCTGTTGGCTGCTTCAAAGGCAGTACAATGCCTAGCAGGGAAGAGTTGCTAAATTCGCCTTTGTTAGGTGAATCCAGGTCACCAGGTACAAGCCACTGCTGCGGCTGTCTTCAGCACAGCGGTTCCAAAGAGAGCCTTGGATTGATTTCTGGGGCGCCTGGGAAATGCAGACTGCAGCAGTTCCTTTTCCTGCTACAAACGTGTCAAGTGGCACAGAGGAAGCCCCATGCTTTGTTTGCCAGAGGTTCAAAAGGATTGCCAATGTGGGCTGCGATTACCTCTCCATCACCAATCACCCACCCCCAATTTTCTCTGCAGAGAGAAACCCACTGCATTATCAGCAGCAGCAGCATGGATGCTGGTGACAGTGCTGACAGATGAGGCAGTGTACAACATGGTCACCAGCAATAATGCTTCTTGGAGGGGTGGGCTCCATGTAAGGGTTACCATAGTTGCTGGCGTTGTTGTTGTTTCTAATTGTGCTAGCTGGCACTGCAAACAGCTGCTCTGGAACAAGCTTCCAGTTTTAAAACCTTGTAGAGGGTGGCAGGGGATCTGAAGGTGTTGAGGAGTGACTTCTGTTCCCATTTGCCTGCCACTGCCCTCATGTGATGAATTTCAACCCTATGGTCCTCAGAACCCATTCCCACATTGTATGCAGGGAATTGCAAATGTGGTTCCACAACATAGGAAACCTTTTTTTTTTTTTTTTTTGCATTTCCCAAGTCTGTAATTTGAATGATTAGGACATATGATCAGCACTGTTCCACTTTCTGCCCCATATAAACAGTGTTCACACAGATGGTCCAAGACATGGAGTTCAGATCTGTTTCATGGAGTGAAATGGCTTTAAAAGCAGGGATGGGGAATGTGAGGCCCTCCAAAGGTTGTTGAACTGCAATTCCCATCAGTTGTAGTCAACACAGACTGTGGTTGGGCATGACGGGAATTGTAGTTCAGCAACCTCTGAAGAACCACACATTCCCCACCCCTGCCTTACAGCATCTACTCTCTCCACACTGCAAACATTCAGTACTGGTTTGACTCTCATAGCTTCCCCCAAAAGCATCCTAGAAACTTAACATTTTGTGAGGTTCTTGAGGATTCCTTGTTAAGGCCCAGCTTTTGCAATGTGACAATTTCCAGAAATCCTTGTCATGTATGGGGTGGAAGTGAAGAATGCTAATACAAGCTAAAGTGCTTTAAAATTGGGCAAAGATTGCTATGATAGGAACTGAGATTGTAATCTAGCAAAAAAATGTTATCCAGGACTCTCAAGCTGCCTTATAATAGCCTGTATCTTTTATTCTGACTGCCTTGTTTCCCCAGGTTCCCAGACATAGATATATTTTTTTCATTACCAGTAGTTTGAGCATGACTCTGGAGACCAGAGTTCAAATCCCTGCTTGAGCACAGAAACCCACTGGGTGCCCTTGGGCAAGTCATACTCTCTTAGCCTCAGAGGATGGCCATGGCAAAAAACTCTCTGAAAAAACTTGTCGAGAAAACCCTGTGATAGGTTCACCTTAGGGTAGTCATAAGTCAATACGATTGGACCTATTTTAAAACAAGAAATACCAGCAATTGGATCAAGATAACTATTGCTGAAGTCATTAAGAATCCTTAATATGTGAAGCAATTGCAGCCTGTTAACTAAGATATTAAAACAGATGGACCTGGCACTCATCTAAGGGAATTCAGGGTGAAGTGTACATTTGTACCACAGAGGCAGAGTTTTTATAAACACTACTAGTGTGCTATATTTTCATCTTTGGGGTTGTTTAGTCCCCATCTTTTATAGAGGCGCAGCCACAGGCTAGCACTTGATCAGATAGCATGTTCACTTAAACAGAAGCATGAATATGGGTGCTCAGCTATGTTGGGTCAGGCCTTTTCTGTAGGGCTTGTGCTTGGGGGCAGGTATCCCATATGTACTCCTGGTAAGATTCTAAACCTCCAGCACTCTCAGGTATCTAGAGCAGCCTTGATGATGTAAGATTACACAAGTCAGAGTGTATTGACAGTTAACTTAGTGGGTATTTAGGTTATCACAGCTGCAGTCCCCCCTATTGCGCTCTCCGCCTTCCTTGCAATTTATTTTTGTATGCTTTGGTTTTTCCATGGCTACCTTTCGATGGTATCCCTTTGGTGATCTTTGCATGCTTCCTGCCCATATGTGCTTCCTCCTCTTTGGCCTGGAGGATCATTAGACAATAATGCTGTGTTTGCAAAATGCCAGCTTTATTTCCCTGCAATAATTTTTCTGAGTTGCAAAACAGTGGTGGGATGTGGGAGAGGCCTTTGTAAGGATTGTGTGGGAACTAAAATAAGTTGCTGGCTTCCCCTCTGTGGGATCTAGACATCACTGAGGCTGTTCAATGCCAAGGGTTTAGAGAGGAGAGGGCCCACGTGCGTGGAAGTATCTCTATGGTCTAATCTGCATTGCAGAAATAATGCACTTTGACATTCCTTTAACTGCCATGGCTCAATGCTATGGAATTTCTGGGATTTGTAGTTTTGTGAGGTATTTAGTCTTTGTTAGAGAGCTCTAGTGTCACAGCAAACTACAGATCCCAGAATTCTATTGCATGGAGCTACAGCGTCAAATGACATGATTTCTGCAGGGCAAATTAGATCCCAGAGTAAAGTTGGTTGAATAAGTGGAAGAGTATGTTCAGTATTATTGTAAGCATAATTATTTGGGGGAAGAGGCTTATGAAAGTTTGAATGATGGGTGGTCTATACAACACAGTAAATTTCTTTCCCCCAATTGTATAAATATGCCACAAGTCAAATTAAAAGTGAGCCAGCGTCATGTAGTGGTTTGAGCCTATGACTCTGGAAACCAGGGGTCAAATCGCTGCTCAGCTGTGGAAACCCACTGTGTGAACTTGGGCAAGTCACACATTCTCAGCCTCAGAAACCCCTGTGATAGGGTCACTGTAAGTTGTAAATGACTTGAAGGCACACAACACCAAATTCAAAGTAGGAGATCGTGCCACTTCATTCTGCATTGTGCTTATGTATGAAGGCCTCTGGGGCTCTGGTGTGGTTTTGCGTTGTGTGATTGCACACCACAAAATGGGCGAGAAAGGCCCAACTGCAGGCCTTTTGTTTGACCTACTTCCTGCTGCATCTGTCAAGGTGCACCACAAACCCCTCTTGCTGTTTTCATTTGGGGCACCCTTGCTGCCCAGTTTGGTCAACCATGTTTTCAGCCAGAGGTTTTCAGTATTATTTCTTTAAGAAACACTTTCCACATCAGCTCATCTGCTGAGGAAACTTTCTTTGTCACAGAACGTTGTTGTAAAGCATTACTGATAGCAGACGGTTGGCCTCGCTTTCAAGAATTACATTGACAATGTAAAGACTGCAAATATTTACGTATATTCCAAGGGTCCGTGTACATACCTGACTCTCAAAGAGTACAACTTTTCTGAACCTCCAAAGTTCAATATCTGCAAGCAAAATTTGTAGGTGATTTGGAAGAGTAGCAAAGCTAGGCTTGGAAGGTATGCTCCTAAGTTTGGTACACAGAAACAACTGGTATTTATGCACGAAAAAGTCATGGGCTTATTGAATATATTTAGAAGATGGGTACAGCTAGAAATTGGATAGAATGTCTTATGTCAGCATATCCATAGCCCAGAGGAGAGCTGACTTTAGGTAAAGTTTGGGAAAGTTATTTTTTGGAGGATAACACCCAGAATCTTCAGGCTAGCATGCCCAGTAGCTGAGAGAGGGTTGTTTTTTCCCCAAATTTTGGCCAGAAACAATGAGAAAGTGGGAGGATATGTGCCAGGCTTCTGGAACCTGTTTCCTACTGGGGGGGGGGGGGGATTGGGTGTGTATGTGAAGGGATGTTGTAAAATAGGATTCCTGGATTCTTCCTCCTCTCTCAGAACTCAGGAGCCCACACTAAACTACAAATCCTGGGATCCCATAGCAAGGAGCCATGGCAGTTAAACTGGTGTCAAATTGGA